TACAGAATAGTAGTCGTGTGTGTGTGTGTGTGTCACATCATCTTAATCCACTCATCTTTTGTTGTACACTTAGGTTGCTTCCATAACTTGGCTATTATAAATAGTGCCACAATAGACATAGGAATGCATATATCCTTTCAAATTATTGTTTTTGCACTCTTGGGGAATACACCTAGGAGTGGAATGGTTGGATAGCATGATAGATACATCTTTAATATTTGAGAAATGGCCATACTGTTTTTCAGAGGGACCAGTCTACATTCCTACCCATAGCGCACAAGGGTTCCTTTTTCTCCACAGCATTGCCAACACTTGTTTTTGCTCTTTTTGATTTGGACCATTCTCATGGGTGTGAGATGGTATCTCATAGTGATTGTGACTTGATGATAAATGATGATATGCATTTTTTCATATTCCTGATGGCTATCTACATATCTTCTTTGGGTAAGTGTCTAGGTAGATCTACCCATTTTTTGACTATTTTACTTTCTTCTTTGTTGTGTTCTGTGATTTCTTTATAGATCTTGGATAGTAATGCTTTGTTGGATGTTTGATGTGCAAGGATATTCTCCAATGTGGTAGGGTATCTTCTTGAATTTTTGTGTCAAGCTGACTGGGCACAGGGTGCCTAGACATTTAGTTAAAAATTATTCTAGGTATGTCTGTGAAGATGTTTCTGGATGAAATTAACATTTAAATTGGTAGAATCAGTGAAGCCGACTGTCCACTCCACACTGGTGGTCCTCAAAGGACTAGAAAGGCTTAAATAGAAAACAGGCTGACCCTCTTGTGAGTAGTAGGGAATTTCCTGCTACTTAAGTGCCTTGAGCTGGGTTTGTCCCTGCATTTGGACTCCCTTGGAAACAGTGGCTCTTCCTGAAGCTCGGGTCTGACAGCATCTGGCCTGAAACTACATTATCGGCTCTCCTGGGGAGTCTTGCTGACTACGGATCTTGGGACTTGTCAGCTTCCACAATCACATGAACGATTCCTTGTAACAGATCTCTTTTTATACACAAACACTTTATTAGTTCTGTTCCTCTGGAGAACTCTAATAAACTCACCTACTTAATACATCAAATTCCTAATAAAAATGGGAGTATAATGTACTGGTGGCCATAGTTAATAATATTATATTGTATATTTGAAAGTTGCTAAGAGAGTAAATCTTAAAAGTTCTCATCACAAGGGAAAAAAACTGCAATTGTGTGGTGATGGATGTGAAGTTGACTTAATTAGTGATCATTTCATAATATGTACAACTATAGAATCACTATGTAGAAAACCTGAAATTAATATAATATTAAATATCAATATCTCAATTTAAAGATTCCTAATAGAAAGACCAAAACAACATTTTAAACTAATATCTAATGACTATAGTAACAGGAACATTTTCACAGAGCTTGCTGTCTATTTTTTTTTTTTTCATAGTTAGGGATTCCTTTATTCCTTATAAGAACAATTGAACAGTAAATGTAGATTATATGCTATTATTTTTACATATATCTCTTTTGGATATATCTTCCATTAGGACTCTGCCACGTTTATATCTTGTCCTTCCAGTGAAAGGGTAAATTTACCCTCTTATTTGTCTTTTTTTTTTTAAAGATTTATTTATTAATTTATATAAGCACTGGTTACAGTCAGAAGTGCAGGAGGGTGAGAGGATTCACCAGAGCCAGAGCGGGGAGCAGAACAGGCAGAAGTACTGAAGTACACTGCTGAGGGGAGCAGCAGGCAGCAGGAGAGGTCTGCACGCCATGCGGGACCCTCCTCCGGTGGCCAGGGAGCAGCCGGGGATCAAACCAGTGCTGCAGAGGCTGCAGGCCACTTCACAGCCCAACGCTCAACCGCTGCGCCACCAGGGGAGGCCCTCTTATTTGTCTTAAATAACATGATAGCTGTAACAGACAAAAAAAGCATGGAGTACAGGAAAGGAGAATGCAGAGTTTTTCCACATACAAGGACATTTAAACGTCCCAGTACAAAAACATCTGCGTGGCTGATTTAAATGACTTTATGAGTTCCAAGGTATTACAGTACAATTCAGGTAAAGTGTCAGTATTTTAAGTAAATCCCAATGACTTGAAATTCAAGTCCAAACTAGATGTCTTTTAATTATAGAGCTGTCTTCTACAATCTTTGCATAACACAAAGGGCCATCAGCAACAGTGACACAAACTGCAGGAGAGTCTAGGAAATTGAATTCATGGCCTTCCAAGATCTTGGCACAAATTTCAGCTCTTATTCTAACCTCTGGCCAGCCTCCTTCCACAGTTATGAGATGATTTGTTTTTATGACATCTGCTTCTATTGTTTCAATGTCCATTGGTCTAATAGTATGCAAATTTATCACCTCACAGTCAATTTCCCCTTAGACAGCAATGCTGCAGATTCCAAGCAGTGGCCCACTGTCTCAAATGGGCAACTACAGTTGCATGGGCCCCTTCCCTTTCTATTTTGGCTTTTCCAATAGGAATCATAAAAACTTTTGACTACGCTTCTGAATGAAGTTCAAAAGGGACTGCATACATCAATTCGTTCTCTAATACCACCACTGGATTGTTAGCCCAAATGGATGACTTAATAAGTCCCTTTGCATCTCCTGAATTCCAGAGGGTGACCACCTTTAGGACAGGGCAGTGCCCATACCAGGCAGCAAGGCACTGTAAGTGTTGCGTAGCTACACCCACTGAGGAGCCACTGGGCTCCCTGGAGACTAAAGGCACAGGCTGAAGGCCCCCTGATATGTGGTAAGTCTTAGCAGATGAGTTAATAACCTGGTCAGTGACTGGTACAGAGAAAGTGAAGGTCATAAATTCACAAATGGGTCATAATGGATCCATAGCTATATCTATAGCAATTCCAGAAAGGCCATCTCACATACAGGAGTATCTATGACCCTCTCATCTCCACGTTTCTTCCATAGGCCTTGACTAACTTTGTATGATCCATTACACTGTACAACTTCTTGTCCAAGCAGCAATACCACCTCATCTCTTTCCAGATGCCCATCCATTCCTTGATTTGGGTCCAGTGGAAAGGGTCTCCATACCAGTCTAGTCCTTGATGCCATTTTAACCATGTCCTCTGTCTAATTTAAACCTTTCTAGGCATTTCATAGCACACATCAAAACTTTAAAACTGTTAGACGTTCACTAGGTAGTTTTATTTCCTGGTTTATATATATATATATATATATACATATATATATGTATATATGTATGTATGTATATACACAGAGGACATAATCAGTACTAAAATCAAGAATTTTTGTGCTCAAGATAATGGTTGCAATAACATTTATGACAGAATGAAATAGACATAACCAAATGGCCAGCAGTAGTAGAGGAATGATTAAAGAAATTATATCATTTTCAATGAATGTGTTGTCATGCAACTAGTCCCAATGATATTTCTAAAATATGCTCAACCACATGGGGGAAAGCCATAACACAATGTCAATTTTCAAGAGGGAGAAAACATGATATTAGCTATCTTGGAAAAAAAAAAAAAAAGCCTAAAACATTGACAATAATTATTTATGATTAAGAAAATGACAGGTAGGGTTTCCCTGGTGGTGCAAGGGGTTGGGATGTAGCCTATGAAGCAATACACAGCCACTGCAGCATGAGTTCAATCCCTGGCCGGCCAGAGAGCAACCCACATGGCGCAGCAGACCTCTCCTGTCTCACCCGCTGCTCCCCTCAGCAGTGTATTTCAGTCTGCCTGTTCTGTTCCCCACTCTGCCTCTGGTGAATCCTCTCACCCCCCACAATCTCTGGTCTGTACCCCAGCTCTTGCATGCACACATGCATAAATAAATAAATAAATCTTAAAAAAAAAAAAAAAAAAAAAAAAAAAAAGACAGGTAGATTTTTCTAATTTTCCAAAATCAGATATGCTGTGGACTAAATTGTGTCCTCCTAGAATCCATATTGACACCCTAATTCCCAAAGTGATTGCATTTGGAGATAGGGCATTTAGAAAGGTAAGTTTATTTGAGCATAAGGGTGGGACTCTAATCATATATGACTGGTGACCTTATAAGGAGAGGAAAAAGACATGAGGAAAGTGAACACAGAGAACAGAGAAAAAGTCAAGTGAGAAGGTAGCTGTCTGGAAGCCAAGGAGAGAGGCTTTGGAGAAATCAATTCAGGCAACATCTTCACCGTGAACTTCCAGCATCCAGAACTGTGAGAAAATTAATTTCTATAGCATGAGGCACCTACTCTGTGGTATTTTGCTATGGCAGCTCTAGCAAACTAAAACAAGACATGATAAAGTGTCATAAAATTTACTTAGTAAATATTCCTTGTTCTACAAATTATCTTTCCTAGGAAGAACCAACAAATAAAGAATAAAAAATGTATTTCATAACAGAGTGGCATAGCCTAAAAGGGACAAGAGGCCATATTTCCAAAATAAAATATTATCAGCTAATACTGTGAAAGAGAAATGATGAATAGGAGCAAGTATTTTAGTACTATGGATAGATTTAAAGGTAGTTCTCAGGTTACTGTCTATCTAAAGAAGCTCTATGAAAGATTCTGCGTAACACAATGGAATATATTTCAAATTGCTTTTACTTGTTTTGCTCTCAATAGCTCTTAGTCTTGAAAATGAGATTATAAATATATAATTTATAATTATATATTTGTGTGTACATATTACATAAACCTATATATTCCTATATATTAACTCAAAAAGCAGTCACACACAAGTATGTGTCACTATCACACACACCTACAGAACAGAAAATTCTTCTCAAAAGCATTACTTTATAACTCACATTGCTGTTTCAATCCTAACCTTTGAATAAACTTTCCTTATCTTTTATATAGAGTATACTAGAATACTATGGGAGCTTCTTTTAAGCTAAATAAAACTGTAGACACATGTCTCTCCCTCAGAATTTTCAAGTACAATTTTAGCAGTGTATTCAAAAAAATAGACGTTTTATTTGGGGATAAAATTAAAATTAAAACTTCAATTACCTTGTCTGCATCCATGTTTCCTCGGATAAATTCTTGCTTCCAGAACTGCAATGCCTGTTCCAGCGTTAAACCAATGCCCTTCAGGAAGAGGCCATACTGCATGCGGCCTCCATGACGAAGATGATGATTTTCCCTCAAGGCTTTATGTAACTGACGCATGCAAGGTGGAAAGGATTTGGTAGAGAGCTACAAGAAAAAAAGAGTTCATGATTATATGGAAGATTTATCAGTCTTCAACAATATTTCTTTCAAATTCAATCTAATTTGCAAATTCAGTCTAATAAGGGATTAAAAACAAAAGCCATTAAGGGTAGTATTACTGTGATTGCAGATGAACTCTTTTTTCTTACTAATATTTTTATGTTGAAATAACATTTTTGATGTATTGGGTTAAATAAAATAAACTTCAAGTTTATTTCACTTATTTCCTTTCTGTTTTAATTTTTAATCAAGTACTTTCTTTTCAGATAACATAGCATCATGTGCAGCTGCAAGAAATACAAAGAAACATCATGTACCCAGGTTCTCCCAAAGATAGTACTATGCCAACTATAGTATATTGCCACCACTAAGCTACCGATATTGATACAACCCACTAGTCTTAGTAGGTATCCTCGGCAACACTCACATGCGCCTCTGTGTGTATATGTATATTTAGTTTTATGCAATTGTACAACATGTAGGTTTATACAACCACTATCAGAGTCAGGATGCTGAAGTTCCACCACCACAAGGTTCCCTCAAGTTTCCTTTTTATAGCCATCGCCACCTACCTTCTACATCCTGCCCCCCACCCTAGCCCTTGGCAACCATTAATCCATTCTCCATCTCTGATTATGTCATTACATGAATGTTTCCATCCCAACCTCATTCTTTCAGGACTCGATCCTCCCTAGATAGCACTACTGGGAAGCCTTGCACTCCATTCTCATGTGTCCATTCCTGTTCCTCCCAAATATTACTAAATTACTTTTTCTTAAACATTGTTCTAATCCGAAACATCAATGAATACTCAGCATGAACATGCAAGTTTCCATTGATGTCTACAGCTAACTATTCAATGATATGTTATAGCACAAATATTTACTGTGGTTGGAAATGAGATGAACAAAAAATAATCTTGCTCTTTAATTCAATTAAATGAAGGAAAAAGAGTGTCATTTTATATAAGTTAAACTCAAGTAATCAACCATATAATGAAGACTCCAGCAAGAGCATAAATCGAGTACCACGAAAACACTCTGAGGAAAGCGTAAAAATGTCCTGTTTGTTACTATGCTAACAAGAGCCCTCTGGGTTAGGGCCAGTTGGGTTAATCCATGATTATCCAGTTATGTTTTGTTCCTTCTCAACTTTTCTCAAGCCACGGGCCCTGCCTGGTACACTCTCTCCTCTCCTCATGCCATCCAGCCAAAGCCAATCATTCCTCACGACCCAGGGCAACAAAAGCTTCTTTTGGCACACTTCCTTCACTTTTTACTCATTCAATCACCAAAGGTCTACTGAACAATACCGTAAGTACAGCCCTGAGGAATCAACAGTGAAGAAAAAAGTATTTAAAAAAAAAAAAAAACCTGTCCTTAAAGAACTTACATTCTAATGCAAGGAGTTAGACAATAAATTCAGACTTAAAAAAAAAAAAATCTGATTCCAAAAGCACTAGAAATAAAATAGAAATAAATCAAGTATGAACTGGAGAGGAACACTTCAACTTGGCTGGCTGGGGAATCACCTCTGAGCAGTAGCATTGGAACTGAGGAATATATTTCAAGTAGGATTCTAATCAAATAAAAATCCATGAATGCTATTTCCAGGTCAAAGAAATGAAAGCAAAGAGCAGGAGAAGGAAGGCACCTGGGTATGCGCAAGAGGTAGAAAGAAGGCCCATGTGGTTAGAGTGAGCACAATGAGTGAGCTAGAGTGGAAAAATTGGAATGACAGACATTCATGGAGTATTGGTCAAAATAATCAGTTTGGATTTTAGTCTAAATGTGCTGGGTTATGATTAGAAGACTGACATAGTCTGATAAAGAAAACATTTTTTTCTTGTTTTATCATGGAACATGTCCATGAACAGCATCCTCCAAATTAAATCTTTCAGCTTAGTTACAAGCATGTGTGAAAATGGCTGAAAGGCAAAAGGCCTCTACAGGTTAAGGTTCACTGAAGCCAAGGACATTTCACACAAACAGAAGAGAAGAAGAATGAAGACATTATCTCCTCCCGTCTGACAGCAGAATAAATGGGCAGGTGTCTGGTTTCCTAGAACAAGTCTTAACCCCTTTAGAGTTCATAAAAAAAAGAAAAGAAAAGGAAAAAAAAAAAAAAAACAGAAAGACATGCTCATGGATATTGAGTAAATAAAGCGATTAAAAGACCAGGATAGGGGGTGAATTATCAATCTGGATATTTGCAGAGGCCAAGCACATCAACAGGAGTAGTGCTAGTACAAAAGACCATGAAAGACTTAGTGCTAAAGTCATTCTGTAATGATAGCAGTTGGGGGTAGGGATGCCAGCAATTAAAGGAAGGATCAAGTGGTATAAATGATCACAAGATCTTTAAGGATCTAGAACTCTACCAGTGGAAGGCAGAAAAATGGTTTGGAAGTAGGAATACAGACCAAGGAAGACACTCATCCCATAACCAAATGGAGTTTAGGGAAATAACAGTCCATTTGAAGAGACCAAAGGGAAAACAGCAAAATTGAGGGAACCAGATTTCAATTAGAAGAAAAATTTAAAGGCAACATTTGGAGAAGAAATTGAGAAATGTGTTAATGGAGAAGAAATTGAGAGATGTGTTAATGACATGTTATTGTGATGATAAGGCAATATAGATACAGAATTAGGAAGAAGTTCAGATAAAGCAAATCTGTAACACCTCAGGCACAGACTCACCAGTATGATCATCACAGCATCTAACCAAGTTGATAACTGCATTGCTTATCTACTGCTTACAATGTTGCCTACCTCCCTGAAAGAAAAGCCACAAGCTAGGGGCATTTTCTGTTTTACCACCTCTGTATCCACTGGCATACTGGCTGTACATAATTGATGGGTTCAATATATATTTACTAAATGAATTAATGATTACACTTCCATATCCTCCCATAACATCCAACCAAGTTCACATTTGCTTATGAATAGGAAAACATCTTAATAGAATCAGGAATAGGATTAACCTCCAACCATTCACCTAATATAAACACACATTATATGTCAAGGAGGATTGTTAGAGGTGATTTAACCGTTTGAGAAAAGTAAAGGATCCTTGAGAACAAATTTCAAATCAACTAAGGCAGGCAATTCTATTTATTTCTAGGTATATTAACTGCAAGTATTTGATTATAATATTGCAAATACGAAGATGACCTATTCACTTTGGTCTGTAATAACTTGTGGTTTCTCCCTACTCACCTAATTATATGTAACTCTTACTCCCAAGCATTAGAATCTCGGTATATACCATTTTTAAACTTACTGTAAATAATTTAATTATTTAATCAAAGATTATTTATGGCTGGCTTATTTTCCCTTTATTTGATACAGTGGGAATGCCATTATGAAGTAAAGAAAAATTCTACAAATTATAGTAAAGTACACTATACTCTTCATTCTACTATGAAACCATAAGATGAAATAAAAATAAGCTGTCTAATAATGTAGTGGCAATCTAAGGATGGGAGTCTTTTCTAGCTATTTATCATTCATGGATGGGTGGATGGGTGGATGGGTGGATGGGTGGGTGGATGGATGGAAAGATAAGATCCTTTAAATGTTACAGAACGAATTCTTCACATGTGGAGAATCCTACCACCCCGTAAATCAGAATGTGACAGAATTGGAAAATGGGACCTTTAAAGAAGTAATTAAAGTTAAATGAGCTCATAGGCTAGGGCCCTGTTCCAATGTGCCTAGTGTCCTAAGAACAGGAAGCAACACCAGGGAGATGTGCGCCCAGCAAAACATGTAAGGACACAGCAAGAAGAGGCCAAAGAAGGAGGCCTCAAGAAAACACAAACGTGTTGATTCCAGTATCTTGGAATATTAGGCTCCATCACTCTGAGAAAACATCTTTCTGTTGTTTAAGGCACCTAATGTGTGGTATTTTGCAACAGCGGCTCTAGCAAACTACACAATCCCATTTCACCTTTTCTAAATGTATATGGTATTCAAACATAAATACCAAACATAAATACCAATTCGTAGGTATCATTATTTAAAAGAATTCCCCTTTGGAATAGTTGATTCAAGTCTGTTTTTATAAAATGACAATTTTCTGATTAAATCTGATTTTCCTATGATTGGAAAAAATATAAACCTCATGTACAGCATATGAGATTTCCTTTAAAAATTATTGACAAGCAATGAAATAACATTCTCTCCCATCTCCCCACCCAAAAACAATCCTCAGTTGAAGAAAATCTGTGCTTCCATAACTAATACAAAGGTCTAAGTTTAAAAGGATGTGGTGCTTACCGAATCAATTTGATCTAAAGAAATCTTCCCAACATTTCCCTGTGTACTGTAATCTTGACCAGTGTAGGAATGACTAAAAAAAAAAAAAAAAAGAACAAAATGTTAAAATAGAATTTATAAAACAATTTTTATGATAATTTCAAAGGAAATGTTTTTTATTCAATATAGGGTCAGAACAAGAAAACACCTTAGCAGAAACATGGCCAAGTGTTTCAAAGGTATTTATTAGAAGACATTTGAGTAACTTACCCCAAAATAATACAATAATATACTGACACTCTGGATATCCTGATTTCCAGAGTACGTGCCATTCCATCTCACAGAAGCATAATGCAACTTATTATTAAAGATCAAATTTCTACTAATTGTCCTTTATTAACAGCAAGGCAGCAAGGAAGAAACTGAGCTTAAATCAGGAATCATCCCTTATTGTTGCTTATCTGTAATATTTTGCCATGGCAGTCCTAGCAAACTGATACACCTGGTATTTTCCATTTCTCCTTTTCTAAATGTATATGATATTTAAATACAAGCACCTTTTAGTTATCATCGCTTAATGGAATTTCCCTTTGGAATAACTGATTAATTTCTACAATTTTCCCAGTTTGATCTTCCTTATTCCATACGCACTATTTACTGGTGATAGGGTCCTTGAACAAATTATACTCAGACTCTATATTCCAGATTCCTTATCTGTCAAGTGAAGGAAATAATGTCTGCCTTGCCATGTTGATAGGTCTGGACTGACATAATTTTTGTGGAAGGACCTATCATCTTATAATCACTATTTATTAAAATGGTGATTTTAATAACATTAATAATGCATACTTTACATGTGCAAAGAGTCCTTATCTAATTACATCCTCACAACATCCCCAAGAGTGTTTTTATTTGACATTTGCCAGATGAGGAAACAGAGGTTCAGAGACAAGAAGAAATTTGTTAGATCTGGGAGCACACTATCAGCGCAGGAGAAACTCAAGCCTTTTGATTCTTAAGCCTCTATTTCTTCACTAAAATATGGCATCTTCTATCTATAATAAATTTTCCAATAATATTATTTATAAATTAAGACATATAACCTGGTACATACTGCCTAAAGCTACCTTTGCTGTTTCTCACTTCCTTGACAGAAGGCCATACCCATGCCCAACTCTGCAGACACTGATTCAGATGCAGGCAATTGGTAATGAAGAAGTGACAAACAGCTGCTAGATTACCTAGACAGCCACAACCAAACCATAGCCTACGCGACTCCACAACTAGAGGAAAACTGTAAAGTACAGTGTTACTACAATCATAAACAAGTCCATACATTACTTTCTACCTGCTTGGTTTAGATACTTATGCCACTGAATAATATTCACACAGAAGGTGCTCTGTAGAAAGGTTGTCATCCCTACAATCAATCAACTGTACCAATGGGTGTTGACGAAGAAGCAGATTGTATCTGGGGATGTTGCGACTGCAACTCGCTAGGAAGTTATTGGAAGTGTAGATTGGCCCTCCTGGAGGCCCTCTCTCTACAAGGCTAATAATGGTCTGAGAATTACTCCAAGAACAGGATGAGCAGAATGCCAAGGAGTGGCGCAGAAGGATTCCACACCCTGAAGTACATTATCTTGCCTCTGGTATTATTTCTCTCTTGAGTAATTAATCTATCACTGGATTCTATCTAGCCCTTTTATCATAGAGCATGGTATACAAAACCCATGCTAAATTAAACCAACACTTGCCATTTAATTTAAGTATGTTACATTTTACCATAGAGCATAACCATAAGATTGGTTGAGTGGAACCCTACAAAAAAAAACATATTTCACTTTCCAATATACCTAACAGTGCAGTCAGTAGGCAGCCTGGGACAATGGGAACAGGAGCAGGAGATGAATCCTTTCTTGTTTTCAATTTTTAAATCACTAGTTCAACCAAATCAATAAGGCTGATTTCACTACCCTCATTTTTTAAACAACACTAATAATGTCAGGTCTGGCTAACTGACAGAAATGCCGATGGAAATCAAGTGAAGTAATACAGTTAATGTGCTTATTAAAATCAGTAAAGCATATTCCAGTGCACAGGGCAATTGCTGTCTTGACCAGTAAGTGCAGATAAAAAGGGGTGGGAAGGGAGGCGGCGTGATCCTGGAGAGGGCCAACATCAGCGACTCCACTGACCATTGCAAAGTTCAGCTTCTTAGTCTACAAATGATTACAATCATCTAAATGAATTGGTCAGATCAAACAGACTAGCAAATACAAAAGTCCTCTAAAATGATGTACAACCTGAAAAAAAAATGATGGACAAACAGGATTACAGTTATTGAGTAAGAGGTGTCACCTAATTACTGTGCCACAAGGATGTTTTCCTCATCCCAGATGAATACAGCATGAGAACTACAAAGAGAAGACATACAAAGAGAACATATGAATGACAGTATAAAATGCTTATTCTTAACACTTGATAAAATACATGAAAGGGCTGAAGACCAAAGGAAAAAAGGTAAAAGTAAAAGGACAGCGTGATCAATGTAAAGACGTTAGTAGGTAGAAAGAACAACACAGAGATACAAGGAAAGTGATAGACATCACACGTCTCAGAATATTAATAAATAGGAAGATGGGCATCTGCCCAGGGAGTACAAGCAAGGAACTCATAGAGGAAAAACAATAGAAACAAACATATTAAGCATTAGAATTAAGATTAAGAATTCTCCTCTGATTCATAATCAGGAGGCTTACACATGTCATTATTAGAGGAGCTAGTAATCACTAAACATCATGGTTATTTTTTTTCTTACATCATTGTTCATTTGTGTACAATATTTTGTTTCTCCCCTCAGCTATATTCCCCAAAAATCTGCCATTACCACCTCACCTGTAAACGATCACCACAGTCCCTTGTGCCTTTTCCTTCCCTATTTTGACCCCCTCCCGGCCTCACCTGCTGTGTATCTCAGAACTATAATTGACATCAAGGCTATTTAATGCATATTTGAGCTATACAGTTATGAGGAGATGAAGCTGAGGTGGGAGAAATTTTCAGATACAAGAAAGGTAGATCCTGAAAAGCTGTATATCTAATGCTCTGAAGGCAATGAAAAAACTAGGAAAAGATTTTAAGCCAGGATTGAGACAATCAGATTCTCACTTGAAAAAGAAAGCCATGTGGAGAAATGGCTAGAAAGGAGAGAGACTGGGCAATGGAAGATCAGAATAATTTTGAAGAATACTGCAGTATTCTAGATAAGAAGAGATGAGAGCCTAAAGGGGTGGCAATAGATGGAGAAAGGGGGACAATCAAGGTAGAAGAAAAAGTAATAATGCTCCCACAAAAGAATAAAAATTCTCAAGAACAATTCATAGTAGCTTATGAAACTGGGCCTTTGGTTTTTACTTGGAAGTGTCAAAGGATGTTACTCAATAGGATTAATAACAGTACCTGGGAAAACTGAGGTTTCTTTCTACCACATTCAAAGCCCAGAGTCAGCTTTATATTATATTGCTCCAAATGAATGCAGCTGCTACCCTAATGAGCTGTCAAAATATATTTTTATTTACATGATTGAAAAAATAAATCATTCTTATGAATGAACATTCATTAATTAATGTATTGGAGAAACAGAAATAGTTACAGTAATCTTAAGAGCAAAACCAATTTCTTATTGGTTCAATGAAATATGAAAACACATGCAAACCCAGCAGGAAATACTGCTTTCAGTCCACTTTAAACAATCACAGCTTTATTTAAAGAAATACTCAGTGTCTTAGGCCCAGTTTTTAACAAGGAAGATCCAATAGGCATAAAAGCTTTCCTGCTTTATCCTTTCTAAAAAAATAAATTAAAATGTAGCAGAAATGCCTTTTTTTCAATACAGCATTAAAAAAGATTTTAATGAACCACAAAATTCAGATTACATCGCTAATCACTATTTTGCCAAATATAAAGAGGAATATTTGATTAACTAATCACAGAATCTTGAAAAGTCAAGATTTGATTTCTTTAATTCTCAGTGTAGCTACTAATTTGCAGTAAAAAAAAGAAAAAATTCTAGTCTGACTATGCTTCAATTTGTTCATCCGTAAGTATGCATAGTAAGGGAGTAGAAACTGCAGTGATTAACTAGCACTCTCTGCATAAATTATCTTTTATTTGCAGGAGAGTCAGGTGAAAGGCACTAAGGGTAAAACACAGTATTCTCAAGTTACCAAAAAGTCAGAAAAGTAGTGAAAACAATAAAGATGTGGTTCAGTGAGTATTCAATTATAGTAGAATATAATCTGAAGATACTGGGCTGTAAAAGGGTCTATTTTTGCTAAAGTGTAACAATTACTACACTGTACCAGTAAATGGATAGAACGCAGGATGAACTTTATTTTTTTTTAAATGCCAATAAGCAGTCAGACTTTATAAGAGACTTCTTTCATATCCCACTTGTTGTTCCTCATCTGGGTAGAAGAGATTCTAATTACATACATACACAGTTTTCAACAGCCTCTGAATAGCTCCTCAATCACTCAGCACATACCTATTAAGCACTTCCTTTACGACAAGAGTCACAAGTATGAAGGATGTAGAGATGATCCAGAATATACAATGTGATGGGCACACGGCAATCCTCAAACAAAATATTCCCAAACCCACAAAGAACAGCTCTCTTCTTCAAAAAGGGTGGGATGATAAAATAAGCACTGTGTGGCATTAAAAGTTCTTGATCAATGAAATGGCACTGAATGGTCTTATGCTTTAGATATACAGACTACAGGGTTCCCGAATGTTATTGCAACATTGTTGAAATGACTTTATACATATCTGTAAAGACTGACTAAAGAAGGTTAAGCTGGAGGGAGAGAAGACTTGGAGTGCTAGCATGGAAGGTTGAGAAGAGGTAAAATGGCAATCAGAGAATGAGGGACTGGGGAGTAAACTGGAAGAGTAAGAGATTATAATCAGAAAATAGTTTGAGCTTGAAGGCTTAGAATTAGGATGTGATGATTACATGAAAGTCAAAGGCCTAGTTATTTTAGTATTTTTTTATCATTTATAGTTAAGCAATTTTATATGCATTAAAAC